GAGAATTGAAATCTGTGCTTACTGGGCTTTAATTAAACCACTCCAGATAAATAATTATTTCTTCAATGCTTAAAGCCCGTTAATGAGGTTATCTCACAGCCCGTGACATCACCAACTTCCATTATTTAAAATCTATTGTGAGAAAAGCCACACACTTAAAGTTTTAGGTATGCTGTTTCCTTACCCGGAGCATACTCAAGGCATGAAAGACCTGCACAAAACAGGTGTGCACTGGAAGGAAAATGGTGAAGAACTCTGGAATTTAGTCTAACTGCTTCTTCACTAGGTTCTTATTATTTCATTTTGGTTTTTCCCCCTTGGGGGGAAGGGGGCAGTAGATTCTTCCTTTTGTTAAAAACAGGTTTGTTCTGCCTATTGCCTTTTTTTTTTTTTTAATTAATCAATTTATTGGGGCTCATACAATTGCCTTTTTTAAATGTCTGGTTGTCCCAAGAGTTTCACCCAAGTTCTTGTCCCCCCTGCACCTCCATGGGACCAGTTCTAATTATATCTGAATTTTTTCTACTGTTCAAACAAAACATGCATTCAATACTATATTATTTTGAGGGTTTTTTCCTCCCTTGGTTGAGAATAAATTGCCTAATCACATAAACACTGATTATAACAAACTGTTTATTATTTTAATTCCTCTTAGATTTTCATGGAAGTAATGACAAATTGGCTAATAGTCAAGTGCCTATATATAATCTAGGATCTGTAACCTCATTTGTGCCATTCTTATTATGCAGGGCTGGGTAAAACTAGCTTTTAAGAGCATCAATACATCTGGTAATTATATCAATAAGCCAATTTAATCATCAAAATGTGAAAAATAAAATTCTAGTAATAAGAATAGGGCACATCCACATAAGATAATATTATAAAAAAGTCAATTCCTCTTAAATTTACATTCAAGAAGTAAATTAGAATGTAATATTAAATGCATTGAATTTATTAGTTTGAAGCAGAGGCTCAGAGAGGTTAAGTAAGTTACTCAAGCTCGCTCTACAGGGGAGACGTGGAATTGTGATGTTGATATATGTT